CAGACTCCATTCAAATAAACAGTAATTTAAGTGTGTATAGAGCCAGCATATTTTCACATCTAACTGGGTGAATTAAGGGTTTATTTTCACAAATTCAGAGTTGGTGATTGCTGGAACAGTGGCAAGACAAATCAAGACTGTTTTTGTGAGTTTTATTTTGTTTTCTTCTTTAAATGAAGTGTGTTTTACAAGTCTGATTTCAGGGCTGTTTCTGGTTTAACAAAATAGATCTTAACCTTTAACAAAAAAGGTCTATCTCTGTAGGGATCATTTCCAGAATGTTGTCAGACACTTATAATGACAATCTGAGCCTGTCAGTGACAAAAATAAACACTTCTAATGGGCGTACATTGCACAAATGCCCCAACACTGCAGCCTGAAAATAAGGTCCAGGTTGAAAAATACCAAAGTTAATCATTAAATTATTATCAAAATGGTTGTGGATTACTTTTCTCTCAAATGATAAGTGGATTATTCCAACACTACATCAGAGACAATCCTGTCAGACTTTTCCTTTGCTGCTGCAACACATGCAGTGGGTGTTTCTCCCTCATTCAGTGCCACTGGCTCCAAAGTTTGACTCCGCCATATTGTTTTATTGAGGTCAACAACAATCCCTGAGGTGGTGCCTGAGCTGCGGGACAGTTTTCCTGGCAAACGGCGACTGTGGGCCGCACCTCCGCCCGTTTCGTCGAGGTTAAGCCTTTACACACTCGACTGACTCCTAATAGTTGAGCAAATAGCCGCCCTCAAGCCTGATACTGTACTCGCTGCCCGAAAGGGTCTTACTGGACTCAGCTGAATAAATAACTGGGATCCTAATATCGCCCTGCACGGCAGCTGGCTCGTGTTTGTGTAATTACCGCTGGCTAGAGGGGAGGCTGTGCGATTATTGGACGGTTCCTGGGCTGCTTTAGGTGAGTTTCCCAGGCCCAAAGCACTACAAGGCAGCGTGGACATGCACTGTTTTTGTTATGCCTCCCCTGTATGCATGCTCACCAACGTGCAAGCTGAGGAACTTCTTGCTGTGCACACCCAAAGCAGCACAATTATTCCAAACTTAAACTTTAAATAACTTTAATTCCCCCTCCAGCTGAGGCATGCCACTGGGAACTTCCCCCTGTGCAGTGACTGACAGGGCTTCATATGAGCAGCACAGGTATCAAATTGAGGGAGTGGTCCTCTGGAAAGTATGTGAAACAGACAGTGCAGCATCTCTTGGCTCCGTGCCCCTAAGCTTCGCCCTGTTCACAATCTGCAGGCTGTGAATTCCTCTGTCTCCCCACTGAGGGACAAACACTTTACTGAACTGACAGTAGAGGAGTGACAGTGTGTGTAGACGAGGCAGGGGGGATGGCGGCATCGGAGAGGGGTGCGGAGCTTCAATCAACACACAGACACCGAAGACTTGAAACTGTGTATGAGCTGCACATACCAGAGGAGGGTTATTACAGGCAGGAATCCTGCCAGTGTTCAGTGTGTGTGCATTTCAGCTATTTTCGCACATGCAGGTTTAGGCAGCAATCGGCCATGACCTTACAACTCCCCCTCTTACGAAACTCTCCCTATACAAGCATGGATCATGTGTGTGGCCTCCCTTCTTTTTTTTTTTTTTGTATGAGCAGGACGGACTGCAGCACATACCACAAGAAAATGCCTGCCAACGTGCTGGTTTACACAGCAGCTCGGCCGCAGCCTTTTGTCGCTGTCAGAGTGTGTGATTTACACGAGAAACCCAACACTGGAAGCAACAAAAGAGGGAGACAAGTAGCCGTCAGACAGTGCAGCACACCGGAGCTGTAATTTCAAAGACGACTCATGATGATGCTCGAGCCGGCTGGTTGTCTGGCTTCCATGAAAAGGCCGAGCGTGCTCACCTGCTGAGCTGCAAGGATTTCTGTACATCTAACCTTTACGCACAGAACACTTTCATTAGATTGCTTTCATTTCGGAGCAGTTTTTTTCTGTATAACAGGGTTGTAAAGTCAGTTTCTCACAATTCCCCAGGCTCCAACATCTGTCTATTCACTCTCCCATCTTGCGCAGACTCGTCAAATACTTGGGGAAAGTGGGCTGAGCACACACCAACACACACAGACCTAGTTGTGTTAAAGGGACAGTTCATCCTGACTCAAACACATTTTTCCTCTTACCTGTTGTGCTGTTTATCAACCTTGGTTATTTTGGCAAAGAGCTTCAAAGTGTTGGAGATATCAGATGTAGAAAAGTCTGTCTTATCTCTACTATTATGGAACTAGATCTGGAGCAGTTTCATATTAGGAGCTTTTTTCTTTCTACCGAACTTCACCAGCCAACCATTTCACCGTGCAGAAGGAAGAGTGCATCTACTTCTAGCTGACCTAGTAACACTGACCTAGCTAGCGTTACAGCTCAGCCAAGGAGGACGCCACTAAAGTTTACATGAGCCTCTTGCAATTTTCATACAGACAATACAAAATTAAATTCGAGGACTTTTAAGTACTTTTTCAAGCACATTCTTAAGGACTTTGGTCAAAGCTAATAATTAATTTTCACACATAACTTTTTATTAAACAAATAAATGATGTGATCAATATTTCTCTTTTCAGAGAAGGGTTTCTTATCCTACTTTTTTTTTAGGCATAACTGTATAAAATCTGCAACAAAACATTTGAACTGCACGGTGTTGAGAGCATTCTCGTGCTTCGAAAAGTTCCAATCCACAGACGTTTCAGGGCGACAGCATCAAAGTAACTACAGAAACTCAAAACAACTGAACTCCCGCTCAGCACGTGGCCAGCACACAGGGCAAGACGAGAGGCAGAAACCTCGCCACGCTGGTTGCTATCAGAGAGAATTCTCATCTGGTAACAAAAGGAGTTCACATTATGAAGAAATGAAAATACATATTTCAAATATAACCATCTGAAAGTAGCGCAAGGAAACGACGCCAGCTGGAACTTAAGTTTCACTTGCAGTTCTCGGCAGAGCTACGACATGGGAACACCGCTGAAGAGAGAGGAAGACAAATCATGGTGAAAAGCCAGCTCATCATGTTAAGTCATGTTAAGTTTAGCCATGCCAAAAGGTTTACAAGCACATCATACAAGAGACAAAAAATAGAAGTCTGCAAACTCGACTATGCTCCCATAAATATTTAATTAAATTACTACCGAGATCACACTTTAAGCCACATGGTCTACATCAAACCAGTTTCGCTGTGCTAACATTGGCCTACTGGTTTTGCTTGGGTTTTTAAGGTAGAGCGAAATTAAACTAAACTACGGTGTCAGGCAGGAAGAAAGGAGAGGGAGGACGAGACATTGACACATCTGAATTTTAAAAAAGAACGGCTGAACGATTTAATGAGCAATTTAACTGTGGTGAATCAATGAGCAAAACTTTGGTCAAAATAGAAGACGACATTAAGTGGTTAATTTGAATTTCAAGTTCTTTTCAAGCACTTCTCAAGGTATTCCAGTGCTTCATTTTTTCCCCTCAAAATTCAAGCACTTCAAGGACTTTATGCAAACCCTGCTCTCATCCATGAGTAGATGCACGCCTCCTTCTGAGCAGTGATACAGTTGGTGGGTGTAGCTTGGTAGAAAGAATATAGTTCCTACATGAAACTGCTCACAACGAGGTCTGTGGATTATCTTGTGTAACCAGGTCATGGTTTCTGGAAACACACATTGCTGTTGAGTTTTTCCACTTGTGTTGGCATCTAGTTCCTTTATACTGGGGAGAAGGCAGACATCTCTACAGCTGACATCTCTTACACTTGGCAACTCATGCCAAAACAATCTAGACTGATAAATAGCACTACAGGTAAGAGGAGAAATATGTGTTTTTGGTTATGGGATGAACAGTCCCTTTCAAGCAACAGAAGGAGATTCCCGATACAACATTTAGAAGCTACTAAATCAACCGAATCGGTCTCCACCTTGACACAACTTGCTCTTCTGTTGTTTCAAATTAAAGCAGGAGCATTAGATGTGTCAGCACATATCATTTTCTCTCCTCAGGTGTTTTATGTAACAGAGACAGGAGGTCATGTGCACCTTGAACTCATATCTTTTGCCAAGATTGTGTCATATGTTCCTTGTGGCCTGTCTCTCACAGCAAGGGACTGAACAGGTGATCTGGAGTTGCCCTGCTCACCACTTCTGCTCTGACAGCTGTGTTGACACAAGTTGCAGATAAACGCTGTGAGACAAAAATTATGGGTGATTTTTTTTTTTTGTAGTTTTATGGAGGAGGGGGACGTTGAAGCCATTTGCAACATTAGATAAATCCAGGAGAAGCTTGATGGGACGGGCTAAGCTGCTTAGTCATTACAAGTCAATCAGGAAATAAATGTTTAATGACTGACCGTCAGGTGTAAATGTCTCTCACAACCTTTGGGACATTTCTGTCCTCTTGTGGGATCAATGCCTGATGTAATATTGCAGTGTCAGCAGAAAAGCAGGGGCAGGCAAAGTAAACAAGAGGGCAGGGTGTGTTTGAGTTGGGAAAGAGACACAAAGCTTGCACACAGCTGAGGCCCACAAGAGAGAAAACCCAAAAAGTCTGGAGGACAACTGGGAGTAAATATCTAGCACTGACACCAGTACGATAAGAACTGCTGGGGAGGATAAGCTCCACTGTGCAGCTTAAAGGCGCATGTTTACACACTCAGGGGCCATTTGTAAACAACTCTGACCTGTTTTAAAAGTGCAAAAAAATGAACACCACCCACTTTCAGATCTTGGAAGAATGCACAAGGCAAATGGGAGTGCACCCTCAACAGACACTCGCTATGTAAACTTGGCTTGGCAAGCTGTAATGGTTTTTAAACAATCCCTGCACATGATCCAAAACACTGGAATGAAACATGTCCCAATCTGCAGTGCGCTCCTGCTGTTCCGCTCTGCAGGCATTGCCACGTTTCTCCTCTCATGCAGAGCCCCGTACAGTGTCGAGTGTATATGTATGCATGCATGTGAGGGGCGTGCATGTGTGTGTGAGGTGCTTTGACTTACTTTTGCACTGCAGGTCCACCATAGCCTGGTACCACTCGTCCTGGTCCGCCTCGTTCTCCGCGGCGATGGCGAAACTCTCGGCCCGGGTGTAGAGCACGATCATGTGCTTGTTCTTGGAGTCGGCCCGCTTGTTGATGTTGAAGCATGTCTCCAGCGCCACCGCTTTCTTCGGGACGGGGGCCTTGCCGCGGAATTTCTTCTCGCTCTCGTAGTACTCCAGGCGGGCCGGGCCGCGCTCCGAGGCGGCGCGGAGCACGAAGTACCGCCGGTGCATGGACTTCTGCTTGCGGAGGTAGCCGCTCTTCCGCACGTCCTCGCAGCTCTGGAGGTCGCCCGCTTGGCTCTCCATGACACCCGACATCTCCTTTATTCCCAAAACAGACAAACTATTTTTTCTTGTATTTGTGCAAGTTTAGAGAAATTCAAACATCCCCCGGCTCCGCTCCCCTCCCTCTCTCCCACATCAACGCAGGCATGTGAGAGGGGAGGCAGGGGTCGGCGTGGGTTGCTGCTCCTCAGCGAGTCCCGGTGCTTGAACCTGAACCGGGGTTTGTTCACGGCTGCAGCTATGTTTAGTTTTCCTCTTCTTTTGGGTTGTTCTGGTCTCCGACGGACGGGCCGGTGCAAGTTTTCCACACGGGCGAGCACATGCGGCGCAGCTCGGCGCGGAGCTCCCCCTACTCTCCACTACTACTACTACTACTGCTGCGAGTGTTTCCAAGCGCTGTCTGAGCGGTTTAATCCCATTTACTGCACATCACACAGCACAGAGCCCGTCCTGCTGCAGCCTGTCTGTCTCTCTCTCAGTCTGTCTGTCTGTCTGTCCACACACCCCTGCTGCCCTGCTCGGCTCCGGTCTTGTTGCTGTAATGAGGAGAGGAGCGGAGCAGCTACCGTGGAGCAGGACTGTCACTCACCGCTGTACGAGTACTCTGGAACAGTGGTGCGTTCAGGGACACAGAGCGAGCTCTGACATAACAGCTGCCAACATTTCTTTCGTGCATTTCTACTCAATAAAAACAGTGTGGGGTAAAAATACAAGTGTATCAGTGTTATCTATAGATATGTAAAATAACTATTATGACAGTATTATTAAAATGTGCAGAAAATGCCCCAATTGTGCTGATACACAAATAATTTAGCCAAGTTTTACATTAAAAGCCACAAATAAAATTAACATTTTTCTTGCATTTAACTTTAAAATAATGGCATACATACACAAAACCCAAATATGAATGACATAAGTACATATGAAGGGTTTAAAGTGACAGCCGCCCCCTCACCCAAGCCTACCAGCAACCTGTGGGGAGCATCCTCACTACTGGCATCACTGTCTGGTACGGTAACACCACCCAGGCCGAGAGGAAGCCTCTCCAGAGGATCGTAAAGATTGCAGAAAAGATCATTAGGGCTGAACTTCCATCTCTGGACACTATCTGCACACAACACTGCAAGAAAAAAAGCACAGAGCATCATTAGCATCACCATACAGCCTGAGACACAGCAGAGGGAACGGCATAATCACACATAAAACACGATTCTATAACAGCTTTTCCCTGCCACAGTGAAAGGGATGGCAAAAGCAAATAAGGACTAACTAACTACAATGAAATGTGCAATACCTGTCTGAATGTCCTGCAGGTGGAGCTTATATTCTTGTATTCATTACACTTTTTATACTTTAACTTCAACATGTTAATGCAATGGTGGAAATACCATCTTATGAATATATGCTCAGTAGAATAAATGGCAATCAGGAGAAAGGAGTATCTCCTTGGCCACTGGTTATGGACTCATATCAAAATGGCAGATAAGCCTATATCATTATTAACTTGCTCTGTGATTATGTGACCCTGTAGAGTGATGTATGAGGACATACGTGTGACATGTTTTTGTCTGTTAGTTTGTTTACTTCTCTGTCCTTCTAGACTTCAAGGCTCTTCATGGACTGGCTCCAGATTACACTTCAGACCTGTTAGTCCTTATGAACGTCTTCTGCTTGTCCTAAAGTCCAGACTGAAGACCAAAGGGGACAGAGCTTTTGACACCAGGGCCCTGAGGTTCTGGATCGACCTGCCTGAGGATAAAAGGCTGTCTGAGTCACTGGCTTCCTTTAAGTCTCTCCTGAAAACATACTTCAGTCGGAAAGCATATTCTTTATCTGAGCTGTCTGTTACGGAAGCATACTGCATTCACTTGACAAAAAAAAAAAAACCAACTGTTTTATTGAGTAATTTTTTCTGTTTTTCCGAGTAATTTTTTTATTTTTCTGTTTTACAGTGTAATTTTTTCTGTTTTTCATGGTAAATTTTTTTCTGTTTTTCGTGGTAATTTTGTTTGTTTTTCGGGGTAATTTTTTTCTGTTTTCTCAGAGCAATAGAACAACAGACGCTTTCATTCCTTTCTTGAGAGCTCGATATAATGGAAGCAAACATGACCCACTTGTTTAGTTTAATCCAGTTTTACTTCGTTTTGGGTTTGAGACACTGGGAGATACTCTTGTCTTTAAGTCATATAGTTGGTGTTATCATTAGTGTGTCAACTTTACGCAGGCACCTTACTCAAGAAAGGAATGAAAGCGTCTGTTGTTCTATTGCTCTCTAAACTCAGAAAAAAATACTCTGAAAAACAGAAAAAAATTACCCCGAAAAACAAAACAAGAAATACCATGAAAAACAGAAACAAAATTATCACAAAAAAACAGAAAAAAATTACACCATAAATCAGAAAAATAAAAAAATACTCTGAAAAACAGAAAAAGTTACTCAGTAAAACTGATTTTTTTTTTATTTGTCAAGTGAATGCAATACGCTTCCGTAGTCTGTCTATTTTGCGATCTCATGATGTTATTACGGATATATTATCTTGTTTTTTGATTTGGCCTTTCTTATTTTATCTTTTACTAGATGACATCATATGACATGTTATTTGTTTTATTCTCCTTGTGTTTTAAATGTGTTTAGTTTTATTGTACAGCACTTTGTAACTGTCTTTTTAAAGGTGCTATATACATAAAATGTATTTATTTATATTTATTTTGTCGTATTTGTTAATTTCTCTTTATCTACTGGAATCCACCTCCATATTATAAAAATTACGTGTCTTGTATTCTTGTATGCCCGGAAAATAATGTATGTATGCCACGTTTTGAGCCTTTCAAACCAGTAAAAACTTGAATTACAGAAAAGACAAATGCCCATACACAAAGACACTTTTTGCAAAATATTACAAAACTGAACTTATTTAATGATATTTATATTGTCTATCTGGTGAAGGGTTGCAACGGTATGAGATTTTCACAGTATGATAACTGTCTCAGAGAATATCAAGGTTTTGCGGTATCATGGCATTAGTGAATTTATATTATTATTTGTCAGAATGACCCTTAAAGGACTTAAAATAGAAAGGTTACTGTTGGTTTAACAAATGTTTTATTACTACAATTGAAACTTTAAACCATATTGTTATGAAAGTATCTGTAAAAAGTCTTCCCTTCGAAAATAACTTAAATAAAGGGAAATTTAATGTCCTGTTGCATTTTTTTTTTTTTTTAGTATTGTAGCTAAGCTAATGTATATGCTATGCTAGCCCTCAACGAATACCTTACAGTGAAACCGGTATATTGCTGCAACCCTAATCTGGTGTTTAGCATTAGCTCCACAGCTGTCAGCAGTTTTCAAATGTAATATCTTTAAAGGCGAATATCAAATTAACAAAAAAAAAACAGGACATAGATTTTAATGGTAGGTACAGGGCTTTCTGATTTACCAGCCAAACACCAACAACACAATCACCCAAACGAAGATATGCTAGCTAACATTATGCTAACGGAATGCTAACAAAACGTTAGCATGCTAATCACGCATAACGAATTTACCTGGACTTTACAGGTACCTAGCAAACTGGAACATAAGGTTAGCTTACCTTTGTGACCAACAGTATACTATTTCTTCTACATTTAGTGTTTTGAATTGTATTCATTTTGTGTTAGTTTGGCAGCTCTTTTTAACACTTAGAGTAAAAAGTCAGACGAAGCCACTTACATTAAACAGCCAGAAGATGGCGCGCATCCTCACAAAATGGCCGACTCGTTGCTAATGACAACACATTCACATTTCCCACAACAAAACAAACGTCTCGATATTGCTAACTTCTGTTAATGTTGGACAGTGTTACTATTATTTTTTCAAAGCATAATTATCAAAAATGGTCTTAATGATAATTAAAATTCGAAATGGTAAAGCTAACCATAATTTTACACGGTTTATTGTGAAACAAGGACGCGATAAAGAAGGGAACGCCATGACGTCAGTGACAGCTTCAAGGAACTAGACTTCTCAGTTCTTAATTTGGTCCACAGTCCTCAAGAAGTTAAAGGGTGACATTGATGTAAATTAAATTATATTCTGAAACGTGTTCCCATTTATGTTGATCCTGCACTTTTACATTGTGGGAAGATATTAAATAGGTCTACTAAATGTATAGCTGACATCATTATCTCTGATTTGCTATGATTACTGTAACAAAGATATTAATGCTTTTTTCCTTATAAATCTAATTTTAATTCTCACCAAATTTCACTTTTACAAACATTAACAAACAAAAAAAACAACATTTTTTTCCACATTTCTGATGCACCAATACTTGTCAAGGATTTCGTCCTCACAAACAAAAAAAGCTGTCAAAATAATAAATGTATGCAATATCTTCAAAATTCTTAAGTTAACGTTACGCAACATCCACTCGCATCTTTACACACAAGTGTATACACTATGGTATTATATGTATAGCTATGTAATGAATAAACAAAAAGAAATAAATAAACAAATAAACAAAAAATCACACATAATAAGCAAAACTGGATAACACACACACTGGATTCACACTGGTGAATGAACAGAGATAAATCAGTAGTGAATGTGATGAAATATATGCCAGGAGTTTGCATTAGTAAAGAGAACAAGCTAGGTTTAATAACAAACCTGCCCTGGACTGAGTTTTTTAGGGCTCCTTTATTCAAACCACTTAAATAAGACACTCAACTCTTACCTATATTTTTGTGAGTGACTTTGACACTGCATTTTAAAAATTGTGCAAACATAATATCACATATGTATATTATAAATGGTTGTAAAGTCTTTACAACTCTTAGACTATTAGAAAATGTCTTCATTTAGTGATTTTGTTTATTTTGTATGTTTGTTTTTGTAGCATTTGCAGATTAATTTGTGGAAATAGGCACCATGTGAGCTCAATCCGATGTTTAATAATAAGTTAGCTACATTATTATCATTATTATTACTGGTAGTTGCTCCCTGTATCCTAATTCTGCCGAATGAACTTCAAGTTTCCTTTTAACTTTCTTTCGTATATTTTCACAAATCATTTACGTCCCTGAATAAATTGTAAGATAATATAGCTTTTGAATTTAATTTCATGTTTTTGATTTAAATTATTTTTTTCTATTTTCATCTGTTATTTGTGTTTTTCTCCCATTTATTACATCTTGTGAGTTTATCTGAGCACTCAATGAGTAATCTATATTTCCCATGGCACGTGAAGGCATCATCACTCCCAGTGTGTGTGTGTGTGGAGTAATATTTCAGTTCTGGCTCTGAGTCCATCCTGTTCTATTTATTGTAGAAATCCCCCTCTGTCCTGTATTCATGTGTATTAGATATCAACTCAACTGTGAAAGCTCGCCGCAGATTTTGATATATAAATATTTTGCTACACGAAATGCAGCAGGAGGTCGCTTAAAATATATTAAATTCATAGTGAAACCATTGAATCCTGCAGGAATACAGTGTTTTGTGTTATTGTCATTACTGATTGAAATGCCCCAGATGAAGCTGCTGTAAGGGAATATTTGTAGGCGCCATATTTGTGACTGTGTGAGTACAGTGATTTTGATGTGTTTGGACTGTCTGGCTGCGCAGTAACAACCTCCATCTCTCACACTTGGTGCATGGCTGCATGAAATCCCATCGAATGATAACATATAATACATATTAATAATGGTGTGCGTGTTTGGAGATTTACTCTGAATTTAAAATGACAATAAATCTTTTAAAGGGGTCTATTAATAGTCATTCCGAAAGCCGTAAAGGGTTTCTATCTTTGTACTGTATCATGCTCATGCAGTATGTATGTTGTTATGCAATATGCATCCAAAAGTAACCTTGCGCACGAGGTCAGGGAAAAGTGGATATCAGGCGCCTCCTGTTGTTTGAAGGATTTATTACAGCCTTTAAAAATAAGCTTTTCTTTACACTGTGGAGGTGTCACAGTCTTAAATTTAAGGGTTTTAAAAAGTTTTCAAGGTATGTTTTCGCTGAATTTAAGACTGTGTTTTGGACAAATCATCTGTGTCTTATTCATCATTGCAGGTAAAAATAAATGTGCATTATATATATGATGGATTCTGTATTTTTGTTTCATGCACACAAACACAAGACCATTACAGTATCGTTGCCTCAATCCAAAATATTTGTTGTCATACTGCTTTGTTCCAAGTAAAATATTCCACCTGCTATCTCAGACCCAGCAGATAAAGTCTGTCAGAATAAAATGTACCCCTTCTGAGACATAACTTGAAATTTTAATGGTTATACAACCAAAAGAAATCAACATAAATGGAGGTAATTTTATTTCTGTATCTATATATTTATTTTAAAAATGTAATGTAATTTTATTTTATTCTATTTTCATTTGTATTTATTTTCTAAAAAAAGAAGATTTAATTTAATTTAATTTAATTTTATATTATTTTATTTTATCTATTTTACCAAAAACTGCATCCCTTAAGTCCTCGTAGGCAGGAGAGTAAAACAAAAAATGGACCTCAATTTTAATTTCACCTCTCTCACACTACAAATTCACATTTACATTTAGCCCACAGGCACTTACCTGTGGGCTAAATGTCTAAAAAGTATAAAGTAAAAGACAATATTAGGTTCAGTGGTTGGTTAAAGATTATTAACACCAGAAATGTGGACTATCAGACAGAAGAATTACATCAGATACAATGTTTGTGGCAGCTGAGACCTCACAAATTCAAATTTAAGACAATTTAATGACCTTATATTTATACATTTTGAATTTAAGACTTTCTAACCCTGTGAGAATAGATTCTCTTTGTTAAAGCAAGCTTTTGTTTATGTAAAATAAGCATATCATTTTGTTAAAGATGCTTAAGAAAAAACATAAATATGCACGACGGACATGGATTTGCCTTTTTCAAGGGCATACATAGAAAAATTGCACTGACTTAATGAGAGTTCTTTGAACACAGGCGTATTTTCACGTTAGCCATCACTTAAAAGGGCCCATTCTCCACCCAGCACACTGTTGGACGGCCAGCTCTCTCTATCACTGTCTATATTTACGCCGTAAATAAGTGACTGTACATGGTATGATAACCGTCAACTTTCATGTGACTGCTGCAACTCTACACAAGACTGGATCATTGTATCCCCATTCAAGTTAGCAGAGTGCTAAACCATGAGTAGCTGGCGTGGCTGGCAGAAGTCCATTCGGAAGCAGTGCTGATAATCAAAGTACTTTTATACTTGGCCGAAGTCGTTGAAAACTGGCGCTTGGGCAGTGACTTGCGGAGTCAGAAACCAACAAAAAAAGCCATCCTTTAACGTCGGCATGATAGTTTAATGGAGCTCTGCGGCATCAGGGGGATATGCGACAGGTCAAGAACGAAAGTTAAGGCAACGAAAGTCGTATCTGGACCCAAAAGTCCATGACCAAAGTCGATATGTGACAAGGTCGGAGTGAGAATGTGTTGACGTAGCAGTTAAACTTCTTTGGCACAATTTACGACTGAGCAACTTTCATAGGGAATGAATGGGGTCCTGCTTTCAAAGTTGTATCCACGTCTCCTTATACATCCAAGTTACAGCTGGGGAGTGATTTTAACTAACATCTGTGATACTTTCTACTGTGAAAAATCACTTACAAAGTTTTCTAACATGTTCCTGCAGGAATATGATCCAAGATCAGAGAGAAATTAACAACACCAGCAACCAAGATTACGTTTCCCTGACGTTAGCATGTAGCTTCATGTATGCGTAAGGCAGCTACTTGTATAAGCCAGTAGGAGATGCTGTTGCGCTGTCTATTTCTCAGCAAACGTGACAGTTCACACTGTTTGTCCCTGGCAGGACACCGTAGCTTTCAGATTCGTTCTGTTCAGGGCGCCATGTTTTTCAAAGTTTATGCTCCCTTGTCTTGCTAGGTTAGCGTTGTTACAGCGTCCTGTACTATATTACAATAATAACGCTAAAACCACACATTTTGTTAATTTGTCCAGTGTTGCAGTTAATTAACATATCAGGCGACAGTCCACCACGAAGTCTGAGTATAAATTAACCGTGTTTTTTTACTGTTTGACGACGTTGTTGAGGTGAGGCTACAAGTGTAGCTAGCTGCCGTAGCCTGACGTGCACCTCACCAGACATGTAACTACACGTCACAGTGACGCAGACCTCCTGTCTATTTCTGTAAGCTGAAACCATTTCCCTCAGTGGAAACTAAGCTTTGATTTACTTTACTTTCACAGATAAGAAACAATAAATTTTGAAGACAATAAAGCCTCCACAAAAATAGCATTTTAAGTCTTGTGTGTGATTTATCCTGGCTTCATATGAGCAGAAGAAATCTCAGCTAAAAACTAGGCTAATTTATACAATGTAAAATACCATAGGCTTGTGCAAATAACGTTAGCATGTTATATTTGTTTGGAAAACATGTTTAGTATAAGACAGTTGTTTTGTCAGTGAACCTTGTGAGTTGTAATGAAGCCAAATTATGTAACATTACCTTTGTTAAATGTTGCTGTTGTCCCTGGTTTCATTTGAGTAGAGGAAAAGTCCGCTAGCCACTAGGCTAATTTATACAATATAAAATGTCATAGGCTTGTGCTAATAACATTAGCATGTTGTATTTGTTTGGAAAACATGTTTAGTATAAGACAGTTGTTTTGTCAGTGAACCTTGTGAGCTGTAGTCGGAGCCGAATTATGTAACATTACCTTTGTTAAATGTTGCTGTTGTCCCTGGCTTCATATGAGTAGAGGAAAAGTCCGCTAGCCACTAGGCTAATTTACATAATGTAAAATGCCATAGACTTGTGCTAAAAATATTAGCATGTTGTATTTGTGGGGACAATGTGTCCAGATAAAGACAAGTGTTTGTCTGTGAATGCTGCGAGTTATAGTGAAGCTGATTTGTGTACTTGTGTTTGAAATTGTCTCTATTAAGCCATGTTTAATGTGTGTTTAATGTGTATTTAACGTGTGTTTAACGTGTGTTTTGAATCAACTTAACTTTACAGCACTACAGTTCTGACATAGAAACATAAGACACAAAATATGGGAAAGCATAAAAGGTCCCCTTTAAGACTTTTTAAGGACCTGCTTAACACATAAATGAACCATATAAAGAACCACACAGAGCCAAACTGTCGTAAGAAGCAACAAACTGATTTTATGAACATGAATACTTGTCATTACAAAGACGTTGTTTCATGAATCTCTGTTTTTTTGTTTGGCAAAATAATGTAAATCGCCTCCATGTCAACCAAAAAAAGAAAAAGAAAAGAAAAAGCCAGAAACATTTTGGTCCGGAACATGAAGCGATGACGTTTTTTATACACATTTAAGTTATTCTGAAATTGCTTTACATTCAGTAGCATCTCCTTTTAGCCCTCTAAGCGCATGCAGCCTATAGGAAATGGAAAAATGATCCTTCAAAGGATGAATTTAAAAAAAAAAAACGGTGACAAATGCAAACATGTTCCACACACCCACCACAGAGAAAAGCCCGTCTTATCTCTCCACGCTAACTGACATGCATCAGGAGACTATTAAGGCTGTTATAACCATCTGTAGAAACTCGTGATGCAGAGTCTCAACTGGCTCTTCCTTTGGACAACTTTTGTTACACCAGGAGACGATGCTGATGCATTCACTGACGGGCTGGTTTTTTTGCACTTGTAAGCAGGAGATGAAAGCAAAGTAGCAGCAGCAGCATGTTTATGTGTGTGTCATATACTCTGCAAAAAATCATAGAGGCGTCGTTTACTCGTGACTCCCACAGAGCCCTGAGGTGGCGTCTACTGGCACACAAACACCTTTTTGACACACATGTCACACACATGGTACAAACACAGCAGGCGACTGATCTCACACACACACATGAATTTCATAATTACATTCACACTTTTTTTTGTTTTTCCTCCACAAACACGTAAACACAGACAGAGAGAGAGAGGGAGGGAGGGAGAGGACGTCGGACCCTCCCTCAGAGGGCGAGAATACTCCAGAGGCATTGAAATGGCAGCAACTCCTCGGGTTCACTTCTCCCTCGGTTCCCAGAGATGGATGGGTGGGTGAAGTAATGGGAGGAGGTGGTGGTGGTGGTGGTGGGTGGGGGGGTGGGGGGGTCAGATGAAAGGGTTCCGCGAAGTCCCTCGACTGGGGTAAACATTTCCCTGAGAGACAAGAGAGGCAGGGTGAGAACGAGCACAGGGGTCTTTACTACACTTCCTGTTTGCAGAATAAGAGAGCTGACGACAAATACCAATTAGCCCCCCCCCCTTATCCCCCTGAAGTCAGGCCACTTGTTGGCGAGGCAGTGAACTCACCGTAAACGGGTTCACCGACATCGGCCGAGGGACTTTGGGCTGAGAGTCGGGTGCAGGGAAGGAGGCAAAACCTGGAGCACATGTCAGAAGGAGCATGATCAGTGGTGTTTCTCCAAATTAATTGCCTTTTGGGGGACTTAACATACTCGAAAAGTCATGAAACTTTGTGCATATATCAGAACTGCTGAAAAATTTGATATTTTAAAGGTCTCCTGCTCAGGTGTCAAAAAAAGTGGTTGCAGCTGCTTTAACATACGTGTATGAAACTTGGTGGGCCCATGTACCATCCTAGGACGCACAAAAAAGCTTCTTGGAGCCATGCTCTAAACCCAAAAGGAAGTTGGCCATTTTGAATTTACTGTGCAATTTGGTGCATTTTGGGCCATTTCCAGGGGTCATATTTTAACAAACTAGTTATTATTATCATGCTTTTGAAATTAATTTATGAAGTTATAATGATAATAAGGAATGTTTTTCTTAATTATTATTATTATTATTTTGTTTTTAAAATTAGTTTTTTTTAATTAAATTCTATTATTTTTTATTATTTTTAATAAAAATATTTTTATTATTATTTTCTTAGTTTATTTTTTTATCATGATGGTTTTCAAAATTAATTGATTAACTTCTTATAATAATTGCTGGTTTCCCTTACTTATTTTAAGATTAGAATTATTATTATTATTGTTTTTTAAATTTGTTTAATTTTTTATTAAATTTGATTATTTATTTTTTTATTATTTTATTTCTTATTATTATGATGCTTTTCAAATTGTTCAACTTCTTATAATAATTAGTGTTTTCCCTTACTTATTTTACTAATTTTACTAATTAGAATTATGCTATTATTACATTATTATTATTATTATTATTAACATTATTATTATCTTTTTGAATTTGTTTGATTTTTTATTAAATTTGATGATTTTTCATTTTTTAAAATTATTATTATTATTTTGGTTTTAAAATTAGTTTAGTTTTTTTAAATTAAATTTTATTATTTTTAATTTAAAAATATTATTTTATTTTTTATTATTATGATGCTTTTCAAAATTAACTTATTAATTTCTTGTAATAATTATTATTTTCCCTTACTTATTTTAAAATTAGAATTATGCTATTATTATATTCTTATCATTATTATTATTAGCATTATTGTTATAATTATTACTGCTTATAATGCTAATAATTATTATTGAGCTTTTAAAATTAATTTATTAACTCATTTTCATAATTAAATCTTTCCCTTATTTCTTTATTATTTATCATTGTTATTATGCTTTAAAAATATTACTTATTACAAGTATTTTCCCGATTGTTATTAATATTAACATTAATATTAATAGTAATATTAATTAATTAATTTTATTAACTTTTTATAGTAATTCGTTTCCCTCTATTTTATATTATTATCATATTATCATACTTTTATTCTTTTTACCTAGAATTATAATTATTATTTCCCTTTTTTATTTATTATTATTATTATCATTAATATTATGCCTTATCATTGTTTTCCCCTACTTATTATTTATGTATTTATCTTTAAGCATGTTCTTCCTGTGTGTTTTTATAGTACTGGTTTGGTTATATGAAAAAGAAGCATAGCAACCTTGTTAACTTTTGAAATTTTGCTTAACAATAAAAACATCTGAAACTACATTCTATTTCTATTTTTATTTCTGGCTGTAGGGACTGCAATAACGCTCTGACTGAGATATCTCAACAACTATTAGATGGACTGCCATGAAATTCTGTGCATACCTTCCTGTAGTAATAATAATAATAAGTAAAACAGTTACCATTGGCTTCCTGGTTGCTGGCTGACTCATGATGAAATGCATTCTGGGTGCTGGGTGCTGGGAAGGGGGCGGACGGAGGAAAGACGGAGGTGGGCGAGGTGACGAACGCACTGGAGTCACCTGGAGAGAAGATGCACCCACATACAGAGAGATCAGACGCAGCTCCATGTGGAAATGAGACACATTAGCTGCTTCAAAGTGACATGAGTCACAGAGAGATGTTTTCCTCTTAACTTCTGTATCTTATATGGAACCACAGAGGCAACACACACAGCTACGTGACTGGTCAAATCTAAACTGAACACATAAATAAATGATACGTTGAATAAATTAAAATGGAGCTGCAAGAAGATTCATGCGATCAATTTTCTGTCAGATTCATTTATTCATTCATTCATTCAAGTGTTTGTTGTTGTAGTACTCATTTTAGCCACTAGAGTGCATCCTTTTTTGCACCTGCTCTTTGGTCATAAGAGTCATAACTGTTAGAAAATGGATCACCAGAATTTTCTTTTCCTACATTATTTGGTACTAATCATAGGAAAAACAGAGGCAGTGTTCAATTGGTGCATTTCAAGTAAATGGCAAAAACCAGAGGGTTTTTTACAACAAAAATGAGGAATAAAGTTTTCAATAGTGATAAATAATGAAAATTTTCTTGGATTTAAATGGGGCAGGTATTTGAGAAGGAATCAACAACTGCTTATAAACTCAGCACAACTAATGAAACTGAAATATAACTGACTTTAAACTTTTTTCCTCCAGAAATTTTCCCCTTAATCTTTAAGCAAATTAAATAATTGTTTCCAGGAAATGTTCTCAGAGATCATTACGACATGAGCTACTTTAATTGTCACTTTTCTATTTCCCTTCTGTAGTCAGAAGCATTATCCATAGTATTCATTATATTTTATTTATTGCTCAATATTAGTAATGAAGTCTGTTTTACTCCCGTCCATAGCATTAAAGACATCTTTTTTTTTAACCAAAACATATCACATAACTGGTCACGAATAAATAATCATAGTTTCAATTGAGTGAAAAGAGAACACGGCAAGGCAACCAATAGGCTTAAATCTCAGTTTATTATTTAATCTATGAAATGTTGAAAAATATTTAAAAATGCCGATAAAAGTTCTGAGACGACGTCCCCATTGTATTTTTTTTCCAAACAAGATATTCAATTGAAAAAAACAAAACAAAACATAAAAGAACACAAAAAACAGTAAATATTTGACATATTTTCTTGAATAAGCAACTTAAAAAAATAATCTACTATGAAAATTCTTGCCATTTAATTTTCTGATGATCAGCTTATCAGTTAAAGCAACTACTTCCTTTAACTTGACTTTTCCTTGAACCTCCAAACGGTTGATTAAAGGCCATTTCTAGACGTCTTTCCTGGTTAGATTGAAGAATAATAAGACTTTCTACATACAGAATGTGGATTATGACGTTCTGCAACATAATCCCAGGAACACAAAACCCTTTCTGTAAAACTTGTGATTACAAAATCACATGATTCATTATTATTATTTGAAATAATTGAACGTATAATGTGGCCAGAAGTCCAGCAGACAAGATGTCTGTCAGACCCTGAACATGAGTCTCACCTCCTGATGCGTTGCTGAAGGGGTTACTGGGGGAGAGGGCGACGGGCTGCTGGGAAGCGGAGCTGGAGCTGGAGCTGAATGGGTTTAGGAAATCTGAGACACAGACAGGGACAGAGAGGGGGAGAGAGGAGATAATTCACAGTGAGTGGGGTTAGCAGGGTACATTCCTGTCTATTCAAACCAACACTGCTCCGAGTCCCACACATGCATCCTAATCAGGGATGGCTTTAAAGATGGAGGAGCTGAATGTAAATACAGTGCAGGTTAGCAGGATGGGATCGATGCGGCGTTCGTGCTGGGTACCTACTGGCAAAGGTTTGGGAGCTGGAGACTGTATCGACACCGGGGGAGCTGGGGAGAAGCAGAAAAAGGGGAGGATCGATGAGAATGTGACCTTTAAAGGGCTCCACACATGGAAAATATAAAAAATTGTCACGTTAAAGAAAAGCTGGTTTGACAAAGCTGATTTTTCTCTACCTGGCAGGAGTGGAGCTGGACGAGAGCCTGCTGCCGAAGATGGCGTTGTACTGCGGGGGGCCACCAGGTGGAGCTGTGAACAAGCGTTTCACACAGACCGTCACCCTTTGGCTCTAATGAGTGCTAATTCAAGAGATCAAATGTTGCTATTGTCATGAAATGTGAGTAAAAAGAGCTCAAACAGTTGATCTTAAGCATGTAAGTCATCAGATGAACAAAAGCATTACAAATCCTCTGAATAAAATATGGTGCCTGTGCTCAGTCTGATATGAATCAAAGAGAGCCGGGGCAGGAAATCAATAACCTCCTTACTCTGCCAGGCAGGGAGGCGGTGATGAGAACAACAAAGCGTCTTGTAGAGAGCTCGAGGGCTCCTCGCATGAATGCTGTGCATTAAAAAACCGCCGCCTTGGTTATTAGACAAACGCAGCGGATTGTAAAACGTATCAACAAGGTGCTTTAAATCAGAGCGTGAGCAGGATGTGGAGCGAACACAATGAGCATAATTCAGCTGCTAAAAGCCTTGGCATTTGGAATAAGGATGTTATGCAACCCAGTTGAGCTGGCCGTGACAATCTGCATCACACGCACTCTCTAACTCCCCCTCTGCCTCTCTATCTATCTATTACATAGTGGTGAAAGACGGACTCAGGTCCTTTGCTGCAGTACAACAATGTACAAACACTCCAGCACAAGTACAAACATAACAACAAAAGTACGAAAGTACTGACGACAAAATATACTTCAAAGTACTTTTCACAAAACAAGTACTGTTTAAAACAATTAGTGACTACTAATAATAATGACTGATTAATTATGCAGAACACACAGACAGGAAGTATACTGGTTCAGCTGAATAAAGTTGGAGATGAAACATTTTTGTTATATATTTTGATAATACATCTTTTATATATAACTATTTTTTCATATTTTTCTAAATGTAATTTTAAATGTATTTTTATTATATATTTTTTGTCATATTTTCTATTCATTATTGTTTTTTAAATTTACTTTTTAATGTATTATTGGTTTTATCTCTGTACATATTTTTATTCATTTCTTGTATATTTTTTTCATTTTTTAAATGTAATTTTGACTGTATTTTTGATAATAGATTTTTTCATATTTTTATTTGTTTTTTAAATTTAATTTTTAATGAATTATTGATTATCTTTGTTCATATTTCTATTGATTGATTATTTTTTAATTATTCAATTTAATTTTTAATGAATTATTGATTATCTTTGTTCATTTTTTTATTTGTTTCTTGTTATTTTTGAGTATTTTTTCATATTTGTAGTTATTTAGTTATGTTTATTTTTTCATATTTTTTTTAATTTGTGATGTATATTTTGACTATATCTTTTTCATATTTTTTATATATATTTTAAA